TCATCTCCAAGCATAGATGAGAGAACAGAAGCTTCAAGGGATTAGATATCACAGTTAAATTCACAAAGCCAGGACACAACATAGTGTGGATCTGAACCCCAAATACATGGGATCAACACCCATGGGCTGCCTGGGAGTGTCATCTTGCCTTTCTAGGAACCTCTGCCTCTGTGAGTCACCAGTGGAAATGTATCTTCTTCCAGTCATACCATGCAAGGTAGTTTCTTGATCTACTCATTCTTTCACAAGAGAAAATGGAATGACTTGTCACAATTTGTTTTCAAAGAATTCGGGCTTCCTCCTGTGAACATTTACTTTTCTTTCCAAGTATGCACTTCTCTTTATCAGATCGTAAATTGCACAGCAGGACGGACTTGATGTAAGGAGATCAAGAATCAGTGAAGGCGGCTTTGCAAATACCTGCAGCCTGTTAAAGTTTAAGGTTGATACAACATTCATATGTGGACACAAAATCCTGCTCTGGCCTTTTACAGACACTTGCTTATTTGAGGGAGATATGTCGTGTTCGTGATTCACTTTTAAAGAAACAATTCACAAAAAAAGTAGATGAAGGAACAACAATGTGCCAATTGTTAAATCTCAGTAGTGGGTGAATATGTCTATCTTTAATTGTGTGAGATATTCATAGTAAAAAGTTAAAAAAAACACATAGTTGAGTAAAAAGTACAAAATGAGCATAGGATAGAGATTGTGATAGTGAACACAAAGGAGTAATCACTTTCCACTTCCTTTCTGTTCTCATTAAAGCAGAAACAGACATGTTTACCAAACGAACCAGGCTCCATGGGACACTTTTCTCCATTGTCCACCTTCCATCCACAACAATTCAATAAGATAGGGATTATTTTCTCCAGTTTATGGCTGAGTAAACTGAGACTCTGATAAATAAAATGGCTCACTCCAGAGTTCTGTTAACCAAGGCAGTGTACTCTTCCTGTCTCAGGGAAAGCTGTGCAGAGGTGACCCAATTGAAATAGTTTGAGATAGGGGTGAGGAGTGTGGGGGGGTTTTGGGGTGAAGGGAGTTGGGAAGGAGAAGGCACCGTTGAAATGATGAAATGCAAGCATGGGGAGAAGGCCCACAATAGCCAAGAGGCCTGCATAGTTCAGGGAGGTGCTGAGGTTGTGAAGGAAGAGGACTGGAGTTGGTCTCTGTGTGACTGCACTAGCAAAGCTGGTGACATGTGACGTCTGGGGAGTGATCGACGTGACTGCTGAAATTTCTAAGTATATGGATGCACTTGGCATAGCTAGAAGAAGATGCAAGCAGATGAGGAAGGGTGTGTTGGAGGCGGGGTCCTTGTCTTGTACAGAGAACACTGACCTGGCACTTCTGTGACTGACCCGAGAAAGGCTACTGACAGCCTCCTGCAGTCTACAAGATTGTTTTGACAATGGAAATGGAAGTTTGTTAATTTTTAATAATTAAATTTACTCAATTCCCTTGAGTATACAGTACTGACCTGAGTTCAAAATATAATTCAATTTTAAAAGGCTTTAAAAAAGTGTAGGCTCCATAGGAATTCTGCTAGTGGCCTGGGGTGAGGGGGACAGACCAAGCAAATCATTTTTGTGAAACTGAAAATAGGTTATTTCGGATTATAGCTTTCATTTATGCACGTGGCTATTTTTAATGATGCAAAGAAGTCTAAATTGCCCGGCTAACCCAATGAACTGCTGCCAAGAGAACAACTGCAGACAACTGTTATCTGAGGTCCCATCCAAAGTTTGCTTTTACACTTTCCTTCAGTTCTCATTAAAGCAAATTCCAAAGATCCAAGGAGCTCAGGACCCAAGCAGAAGGCTGGAGAGCCACCTGTTTACTTCAGCAGCACTGGCCACCAGGTGGAAACCCCCTCATGCAGGTCAAAGAGCAATCCTGCGTCATCCTCCCAGATGTCCATCAGATGCCAGTCTGCAGCAGCAGATTACTAAGTCATTCACTGGCTGCCACCAGCTGAACCCCTGAATGAAAGCTTAAGGGAAGAGAAAGAGGAGGGGAAAATACCAGTGGCACCCTTAGTTCACATCTGAGCAGCTTTTATATTCACATGCATGCTGGATTTTGAACTTGTCTTTTTGTAAGCAGGGCAGGCATCATTAGTCCTGTTGTACAGTAGAGTGATCCATGGCCCAAAAGTGTTAAGGCGGGAATTTGCTCTGAACCATACAGTTTGTTCAGAACATGAGCTTTGAGGACAAATGCCCTGGCTTGAATCCTGGGCTTTACCACTTGTGAACCGTGTGACGCTGGGTGAGTTCCTTAACCTCTCTGGAACCCATTTCTTCATCTGTAAAATGGAGCTTGTAATAGTGTCCAACTCAGAGTTTGCTGTGTGGCTCAGATGATAGATTGCATGTCAAGTACTAAGAATGCTTCTGGCACAGCGTATGCAATGCACAGTATTGTTGTTTGTAAAATGTTTTACGGCTCCCACAAAGTATATCTGGTCCAGCTATCCTTATTAAGCACCAGAGCTAGGTACTAATGCTAATTCTGGGATGCTGGAATAAAACGCTTATGGTCCTGAATGCTCCCCAGGTCACAGAAGGATGGAAAGGTAAGCAAAGTTCTCCTGACACACTCCACTCAGAATAAAGTGATATTTTAAGGAACAGAGGTAATTAAGGGAAGAAGTTAGACCAGCCTGGGAGTGTTAGAAAGACGTTCCTGAAGGAAAACACCTTTCTAACTCTACCTTTGCTAAACACCCTCTGTGGGGGGTGGCAGTGTTATTTTGTCTATTCTACAGATGACTGAAAAAAGGCTCAGAAAAGCTAACAGACTTCCCAAGTTCCCACAGCTGAGCCCTTGAGTGACAAAGCCAGGTCTCAGTCATGCCAGCTTGCCCCAAGGATACATTTCTTGTGAATTAAGTCATTCAAATGATAAGCTTTTTTTCTTTTGCCACTATCTTTCTTGATTAACAGGAACAAGAAGTGCCAAATTCTCTAAAATCTGCCATCTGCTAAGAGCCACAGATGCCTAGGTCGAAAGGGACAACTATATACTGTTAGGGATCCAGAGGGACAGAGAAAAACATGTGGCTCGATCCTCATTTGGTCACTAACATGCTCTGTGACAATAGATGAGCAACCAAGTAGAGTCTCATTTTTTTCATTCATATAATGGAGTGACAATAGTTTCTGCCCCCTAGAATTGCTATGATGACTGCATGTCAGTTCCTTAACCGGCTGGGCACACATGATAATTGCTCAATAGATAGCCACTGTTAACTTTAGCTGAGAAAATGCCATCTAGTCCACCCACTTCCCCTCTGGCCACAGAAATCACCCGTGCATTCTTTTTTCAAAAGCCTTCGAGGAGGTGTCTATAGCTTCTCTGTGAAGCATTTCAATGCCCGACCAATCTCTCAGCCTGAAATGCAACTCTTCCACACAGTGCTGGTGCCTTCATGTAAAGTTTCAACATTCTAGGCTCAGAAGGAAGGAGGGAGGGAGGGAGAGAGGGAGGGGAGGGAGGAAGGGGAAGGAGGGAAGGAAGGAGGGAGGGAAGCAGGGAGGGAGGGAATTTCTGGCCATGTTTTGTTCTGGATAAATCCATGAGCATCACAACTTTCTCTCGCCCAAACTGTTTTTCTTTTCTCCCTCTTTATTTTATTTTAAAGGTGTGGGGTTCAAGTCAGGCTTAGGTACATAAGTGGTCTACTTGCAGGTGAAGTTTGGGCCTCCCACTGGTCCTAACTTCTCCTGGTTTAGGATCAGGTACGCTTAGTGATGTTATGTGCCCCTCCCTCCCCTGGCAGTGCCCCACTGCTATTGATACCTCTCTTGTAGTATTGTGATAAATGTTTAGGACGCACTTATGAGTGAGAACATGTGGTACTCGGTTCTTTGTTTCTGTGATAGATCTCTGAGTATGACAGGCTCTAAATCTACCCAAGTTGCTGCAAAATTCATAATTTTGTCCTTTTTTACAGTTGCCCAAACTGTGTAATTAGAGGTCTTTGTTTCTTCTTCTTCCCTGGGTGGTGAACAGGACTTTCTCATGCTGTGAGATGGCCATATAATAGTATAGGTATCTGGTCATGACATCATGTGTGTCAGCTTTGTTTTCAAACTACATTCACACGCTCACCTTATTGATCCTAAACAACCAGGCAGGTAGGAGAGCCGATCCTATCTCCCGTCAAGAATGAGGGAACCGCAGCAGGAAGGTCTAATAGTAGCCACCATGCTGAGCACCAATGGTGCCCCTGTCTTCTGGGTATGTTATCCTATGTGAACTTCTCAAAAGCCCACTCTGGCAGGTGATGTTGGTTCAGTTTTCAGGAGAGAAAAGTAAGACAGAGAGAGGAATGTTGTGTATTCAGGTTTCTCCAGAGAGTGAACAGCAGAGCTGAGACTCAAGTCTAAATCCATCTTGGTCCAAAGCCAGTAAGCTAAACTCTGGCCTTTAGGGCATGTTCAGCCATCAGTGACGACACAATACTAAATCTAGGACTCCTGATTCCCAATCCGAGTCGTCATTCACTAACCGTTCATCCTGTCCTTCTTGATGGCACAAGGCGTTGGAGCCACAACCCCCTGTGACTCCCCCAGGGCTGAGCACACAGAGTGTGGTGTCACTGTGCTTGTCCCCAGTCTCCCACCTTTGCTTTCCAGTCCGTACCCACAACCATGGGGCTCCCATACATGCAGTTAGACATACATATATACATTTTATCTATATCATACATCCAGAATTTGCCAGATTCTACAGCAAGAGTAAGGATTTACTCTTGTCAGGCCAGACCAGCTTCCCACGGACTCAACAGCAAGGATGTTTCTTCAAACATGGAGTTGGATATGGAAGAATAAAATAGTGAAAGATAAAATAACTGGGCGTTTCTCCCTTGTCCTTCTCACTGTCCAGTTGCTTGGACCTGTCGCACTTACAGCTGAGCAAGGGCAGGTTCTGGTCACACTCACTGGGGTGACGACTGTGCCCACTCCACTCTCTTGTTTTCTGTTCCACAGGCGATGATGGTGTGAAGGGCGACCTGGGGGACGAGGGGAAGCACGGCAAAGTGGGCCGCTCGGGGCCAAAAGGTAAGTATAAGGTGTGGTGCCGACAGTTGCACCGGGGCTTGACTGGAGCCCCAGCCCCTGCCCTGGCAATTGGCATTATCATAACACCCTCTGCCCTGAGATGTGTGGGCCATGCTCCACCCATGAACAGACTCCCCATCCGAAACTCACATGAGGTGGCCTGTCAGCAGGACCCCAACACAATCTCTGGGGTGGGTACCCCGGGGCCTTGGGAAACTCTGTCTCTGGGGATATTCAGGAAGCTTGGAGCTATGGAAACACAGCCGTGCTGAGGCTGCATCGCCCTCAGAGGCCATAGCTAGACTACATGCTGTGGTTGGCCTGGAGTTTGAGGAGGAGGATGACAAGAAGCACAGAGGATGACTGATCCGCGAATGCAACCACCCTTCCTAAGACTTCTCTTTATCTTGAATTCCCCTTTTTACACAAAAGTGTGTCCCTGTGGGGCAAGTGGCTGGGCCTTGGAGGTGTGGGACCAAGATGATGAGAACGCAGGAGGTCATATGGAGAGGTTTCCATTCATACGCCAGAGTGAGCCTGAGCGGAGCAAGGCTTGGGGGCTGGGAGGTCTTCATACCTTCCTAACATCTGGAATGTTCCCTGTCTGTGCCATCTTGACCACTCACTTTTAAATCTGAAGTGATTTAAAAGAACAGTCCCTAACCTTTTTGGCATCAGGGACTGGTTTTCACGGACTGGGGGTGGGGGTGGATTCAGGATGATTCAAGCGTATAACATTTATTATGCATTCTATTTCTATTATTACTTTGTAATGTAAATGAAATAATTATATAGCTCACTATAAAAAAAAGAGGCACGAATAGAAGTAGTAAATAAAATAATAGGTGGACCATGCGTAGACAAAAGTAAGTGTTGGATTCTGACATAGAGCCTGCCACCAGATGCAGCTGTACAATTGAACTACGTCAACTCACTTGCCACTCGCTGATAGGGTTTTGATATGTCTGCAAGCATTTTATTTATTATAGTCTCTGTGCAGTCAAACCTCACTGCTAATGTTCATCTGCATTTGCAGTTACTCCCCAGCACTAGCATCAATACTTCAGCTCCGCTTCAGACCATTGGGTATTGATTGGATTCTCATAGGGAGCATACAATCCAGTTCCCTTGCCTGCACAGTCCACAATAGGACTGTGAGAATCTAGCTGCTGCTGATCTGATGGGAGCCAGAGCTCAGGCAGTAATGCGAGCAATGGGGATTGGCTGTAAATACAGATGAAGCTTTGTTCATTTGCCTGCTGCTCACCTCCTGCTGTGCGTCCTAGGTCCTAACAGGTCATGGATTGGTATTGGTTTAAGGCCGGGGCACTGGGGACCCCTGATTTAAAGGGAAGAAAGACTCACAGACCCTGGAGACCTCAATTTGAAAAATGCTGATTTAAATTTTTGTTTTTTGAGTCGGAGTCTCACTCTGTTGCCTAGGCTGTAGTCAAGTGGCACAATCACAGCTCACTGCAGCCTAGATCTCCTGAGCTCAGTCTCCCAAGTGGCTGGGACTACCAGTGTGCATCACCATGCCCGGCTAATTGAAAAATACTGATTTAAACAAAACTATAAAATAAGTGTGAGCTGCAAAATTATTTCTACAAAAATAAACCTTTATTATTAGCAAAGTTGTTTTTAGATTTTCATAAAATAATAATAATTTTGGAAGAACTCAGTGATTCTGGATCCTAGTTTTTGGAGAATGCCTCAGCAGGACATCCCTGATGTCTGACCACTAGGTTTCATGATGACACCTTCCCTAGCCTGCTGTAAAGTGACTGAGCTTGTCAAAGCTTGTTTTAAAAAGAGAGAAAATAGGACCTCAGAGAGAAGCCTCACTGTATCTTGAGAAGAGCAGAACCAGGAGAGCATATGCAAAAGCTTCCATGAGTCCTTGTCTAGCCTTGGTGTTGAGTGCACTTTGATCATCCTGGAAATACTGCACCAGGAAGCATTTAATGTCACTTACACAGGATAGTCATACTTGTCCACATTTTAATTTTAATACATATATTAAAACTGTTGAAATGGACAGTATAGCACAAGATATATGTCAGATATCACAAGTAGAAGAGTTTACTGTTTGGTGTTTATTTCAAGGGAATATCACATTAACCACGTCTTTCAAGAGAAGATAAAACCTCATGGCATAAAGATGGTATGTTTCCTTATAGGAATTAAAGGACAACTGGGGGATGCTGGAGACCAGGGCAACATTGGAAAGACTGGGCCCATTGGCAAGAAGGGTGAGTTACATTTGACTCTTCTCTAGTAGCAATTGAAAGTAAATTAACATATGTTTAACATATGTTTAAGGTTTTGCATCATGAAAATAATCCCGTTCCTTTCTTTTGAGATATGAATCATCTGTCTTCACAGCTTGGCTTTTCTTCCATGCATGAGCAATGTACCTTATGGCTCAGGAAAAGCAAGGCCTTGAGCAAAACAAAACAAGATTTCAGGAACAGAGTCAGGCATCAAGCTCTGGCAGTTTCTGCATTGAATTACTCTGGGAATCTACTGGTTGGTTACAAATCCTAGATATAATTAAAATGATATATGATTATTCATCAAACACAAAACACAAGAGGGCAGTATAACTTTCTTTCTTAATATGAGAGCAGTAACTAAAGCGTCTGCACCTGTGACCTATGACCAGGATGGGAACTCAAAGGATATGTGTGTATACCCAGTCATGCCCTGTTCTTGTGTCATCACAGCCTCAACATTATGACGTCGAGGCAGTCTTAGCTGCATCATCTGAGTACCCCTTTCCTCTCCTTCGCTTACAAGGTCCCAGTGGGAACAGCTTCTAACCCCTCCTAAGATTCAATAATTCATGCAGGCGTTGTCCCACTTAGTTTAGAGAGTAAAAAGCTGAATGAATTACAATTTTCTTGCAAGGGACTCCTGGCCTGTTCAGGAAGATAGGACTTTCTCAAAAAGTTGTGGTACTGAATTAACATGACTACCCCAGGAACCCTACAGGAAAGGAAGGCAAATAGACAGGAGAAAGGACAGACCTGAGCCCTGAAGAGCAGTAACATTATGGGGGGCTGCAAGAGATGCTTGTGCTAGGGTCAGGTCAGGGAGCCCAGTGCGTGAGTGACATCACTTCTGCACCTGGTGTCCCTCCATCTTTTCTTTTCTTTTTTTTAATTTTTATTTTAAAATTGTGGGGAACAATTCAGGGTTAGGTATACAAATATGCATTGTGCAGGTACCCTTGTTGATGAGGTGTGTCCCCCTTCCCCAGGCAGATATCAACTACTGTTAATCCCACCTCCCTTCCCCTCCCTGCCCCCCCATAATTTCATGCCACTGTCAATCCTTTTCTTACAGTATTATGGTAGTTGTTCAAGGTCCACTTATGAGTAATAATATGTGATACTCAGATCTTTGTTTCTGTGAAAGGTCACTCAGTATTATAAATTCCAATCCCATCCAGATTGCTGTGAAGTTCATGATTTTGTTCTTCTTTATGGCTGCATGATATTCCATTGTGTATGTGTACCACATTTTTTAAAATCCAGTACTATTTTGATGGACAGCATGGTTGGTTCCATGTTGCCACCATCAATAACTCAAAAAATAACAGATGCTAGAGGGGATGTGGCCAAAGGGGAACACTTCTACAATGTTGATGGGAGTGTAAACTAATACAGCCTCTGTGGCAATCTGGTGATTCCTTAAAGTTCTAAAAATCGACTTTCCATATGACCCCTACTGGGAATATACCTGGAAGAACTCAAATCACTCTATAAAAAAAGATACCTGCACACATATGTTTATCGCAGCATTGTTCTCTGTCTTTTCATAAGTGCTTGAGTGACTGTGTAATGGCACCCACAACTTCCTGTCCAGCAGGACATCTTGCAGGGCTGATGGATGGGCTGGGTGGAGGCCATGGCCTCCTCTGGTCCTCTCTCCCACTCTTCCAGCTCTTTCCTGGGAGGACTTCTTACACTCAAGGCCAGGATGAAGGACAGTCCAACTGAGAAGAAATAGCGATGGACTTTTCTGACTCCAAAGCTTGTCTTACACACTCACCTGTGGCAGAAACCCTCACCACTTGGGGACAGCCTCATGGGCCAATCATGGGTCACAAATCCTGCTGAGTGTGTCTGTGGTGACTTCACCATGAAGCATCCTCATGTTTTTGGGTCCTTCCCAGACCCTGACAGAAGCCTCAGCAATGAGTATACATGGCCGCATATCTCAGTAAAATTTGTAAAGATAGATTAACCTCAACTGGCTAAAATAGTGCTTTCCAACATTTTCAAAAATGAATGCCCCGCCCCCCCAGCAAGGCTTTTCAGCTAACTGCCTTTCCTATGGTATGTTAACACTAACCAGGGATTGTATATCTGTTTACGTATTGTGTACATATTTGTACTTTATGTATTTATGTATTTGTACAATTTTTCATCCCAATAGAGCTTTATAATTGGTGCTTGTTAGATTATCATTTAAAGTAACATTTTTGGAAGAACTCAGTGATTTCTGATTACAGTTTTTTGCATGTCATCAGTGGGACTATCCCTGGTATTTCTTTGGTCTCCTAGCCTTATGACAACTCCTTCCTTGCCTTGTATAAGGCAGGGCATCTTTTGCATCCTTGCGTGCTATGCCTCGCTGTGCATGCCTGGGTCAGGACCGCTCTCTTCCTCTCCAGCTTCCCTCACTAGTCCTCTCCTTCATCAGTGGTTTTGAAATGGATGGGAGGATCCTGGGGGCTCTCTGAGAGGAGCTGGAGTGGGAAAACATTTAGCCTGGAGTCCATGAGATATGTTTATGGAGCCTGAAGTTACTCCATGTGCAGCTAAGGTTTCGTTAGCAATTTCTAGGTAGGAACAGTGTCCAAGAACCCTCCTACCTCTCACTGTGTAGCCCAGCCAAGGTCATGCTGCCGGAGAGGTCAGGTTCTCACACCAATGGTCCTGGGGCATCCACATGAGAATGTGGGACTCTGATATCCACAGGGCCAGAACTAGTCTGTGGAAAATACTTCCAAATCTAACAAAAGCTTATGTATGGAAAAGACTTTTCAGTGATAAATTTGACAATAGTCTTAATTTATACATATCACCAATAAGAAGCTGTAAAGTTAAAATAAAATTTTGAGCTGGGCTCAGTGGCTCAGCCTGTAATCTCACGCATTTGGGAGACTGAGGTGAGTGGATTGCCTGAGCCTGAGGGTTCGAGACCCGCCTGGGCAGTGAGACCTCATCTCTACAATAAAATCAAAAAATTAGCTGAGTGTGGTAGCGCATGCCTATAATTCCAGCTACTCGAAAGGCTGAGGCGGAAGGTTCACCGGAGCCCAGCAGGTCAAGGCTACGGTGGCCAGGAATGGCCATTGCACTCCAGTCTGGGTGACAGAGTGAGACTCCAACTCAAAAAAATAAAATAAAATAAAAATAAAATAAAAATAAAATTATGACACCATTGCTTATAAAAATAAAACAGACTTCTGCCACAGGGCATGATGAATTTCCCTGCAATAGATTAATCTTTCTTCTAAGTATGACTAGCTGGGTTCAAAAAAAAATCAAATACATGTTTGGAGGCATAAGAGGGTTATCAAGATGAGTAGGACTTTAGGAGGAGAGGGGTATCATACTTGGCTAAGCTGTGCCTCCTTTACTACTTTTCCTTCCAAGTCATTCACTAGTTCAAAAGTGGGGCAGTCCTAAGAGGCTTGAGCAGAAAAATGCTCAAGTTGAATTGGCATTCAAGGCTTGCCAAAGAAGAGTGGCCTAGGAAAATGGCCCATATCTCCAGTTAGAACTCCAGTAATTCTGAGGAACATTTATTTAAACATGTATCTATTTATGTTTTTAAAAAATCTTAGCAAATTACAAATGGAAGGAAACATACTTATCTATCTAAAAAGGAATATCAACAACAAATATCTACTTAAAAATCGTATTCAATATTCAATGCTCCCTGAAACTGGAGATGACCAATTCCGATTGGTTAATTAGATTTGGAGATCACCAATTCAAATCATCATTATGCATGAGGTTCTAGCCAGAGATAAAAGGCAAGAAAAATAAGAACCATGGTCACTGAAAATTAAGGAATAAGAAGGTCATTATTTGCAGATGACATAATTGCACAACTAGAAAATATTTAAAAATTGACAAATAAGCTGTTTATATTGATAAGTTTTCTAGACAGCATAACATACTACAACCAATGTTGTTTCTATGTAGAAACAATTAAAAAATAAATTTAAAATATGCCATTTATAACAGTCAAAATGATCAAATAACTAGGAATAAATCTAAGAAAAGTTGTACAAGCCATCCACAGTAATCTTTACACAATGGCAATGAAAGAAATTAAAGAATATCAAAAAAAAAAGTAAAACTATATTCATGGATTGCAAGACTCAAAATTGTTAAGATGACAATTCTCCCCAAATTGACCTATAAATTCAATGTGATCTCAATCAAAATCCCAAGGGTGTTTTCTTTTTTGATTGACAAGTCAACATGAAATTTGTGTTTAAATGAAAAGGACCTAAAAAAACCCCAAGACAATCTTGAAAAATTGGGGGAAAAAAGCTAGAAGACTTAAATAATTGAATTTAAGAATTTGTTATAAAGCTAAGCCATTAAGATAGTGTTGATATTGTACCGAGGTAGACAGACTAATAGAAAGAAATACAGTCCAGAAACAAACGCCAGACTTGATTTATATAAGTTGATGTTATTTTGCAATAGAAATTATGAGCCTATCAATATGTAGTGATGGGTTAATTGGATAATAATTTTGACCCCATATTTAGCACTCAATCTAAAATTGCTGGGTTTTAGATCTAAATTTGCTGATAAATCTAAAATTGCAAGACACACATTTGAAACGTAAAGCAATAATGCTTCTAGAAGTTAATAAAGTCTATACTTTTGATACAACTTTTTAACAGTATATGAAAAGGACTAACCATGAAAGAAAAATAACAAATTGAACTCTGTCAAAATAAAGAATTTTCATTCATTAAAAGATACTTCTCAGGGAACAAAAAAGGAAACCACATTAGTATGTGCTGCATATGCATCCAATGAAGGACTTATGTTTAAAACATATAAGGGCATCATAGAAATCAATTTAAAAAAACGCTGATAACCCAAAAGAAAAACAGACACTTCACCAAAAAACAAAAACAAAAACAAAAAAACATTCAAATGAACAATAAATATATGGAAAAGTGCCAACTTCATCAGGTGATGTCAATTTGATTAAAATATGATAGCGCTGCACGCTCACTGAAGTGGTTAAAATCAAAATGACGGACAATATTTAGTGTTAGCAAGGATGTGGAATAACTGAAGCTCCCCTGCACTGCTTTACTGTGTAATGCAAATAAATACACTGTCTCGATATGCAGTAAAATGGATAAATATCATGGACATGGTATTGGGTAAAATAATCCAAAAAGAAAAAAACCCTATGTGCCAAATTATTCCATTTATAAAAAATTCAACAGCATGAAAAATGTATAGTGTGAAAATATACAAATGGTTATAAGTCAGGATGGTGACCCTTGGAAAAAAGGAAAGTGATGACCCAGATATGGCACAAGCGGGGCTTCCAAAGACTTAATTGTGGTGGTTACATAGGTATTTCACCCTGTGAAAAGGCACAAGCTGAGCCTTTATGTTGGCACACTTTTGTTTGTGTTTTATTTTAATAAGCTAAATTTAATAGAATAACTCTTGATGAACTGTGCTAGAGGAAAGACTGTCTTCTGACTCTATTATCCCTCTGTTGTCTCTTAAAGATGACACTATAAAGAATTTGTGGCCAAATAAAGAAGCAGTGAATGCAGCCGAACATGTGGCGCCAATAGTTGTGAAAAAAGAATTATTGAGGCACAAAAATCCATTCATTGTTTAAATGTTTTGGTGAATTTTGTAATGTGGTGCTTATTTACTTTTAAAGTTTAGTAATTTGTTTTTATTTATTTCCTTATGATAAATATTCACTTTTACAACTACTTTTCCATTTGCAATTTTGTATTTTTTTAAAGAGGGCCCTTCCTATTGTATAAACTTTAGATAAAACGCATCATGGATCTGATCTTACCTTTATCAACTTCATTTAACCACTAATAAAAGGCATGGAAAAGTACAGCCAGAAAGTGGGATGTTGGCTTCAAGATTTCTGAGATACAGCCATGTTGATGGGGTGGAGATCCCACATAATCAACTGGGGTGGCAGGGGTGGAGGAGGATGGAGAATCACCGCCATGAACAAGTCCAGTGGAAGAACTGCACCTTTCAATGAGTCCTTCCTGAATTTGCACTTCCTTGGTTTACCCATGTCAAGTCTAAATGAGACTCCAACTAGAAGAGTTAGAATGATCTTGAGCCAGGTCTTAAAATAAGTCCACATGATGGAGAGTGGTAGGAAGGCTCAAGAATTCTTAGTTTCCCTAGATGAGACCTTCCCAATACACAAGGTACTGGGATTGACCACTAAAAAAAAAAGAATTCTTAGTATAACTGACTAAGCCTCAAAGTGGATGAACTTCCAGAAATGCTGAAAAAGCAACAGTCTAGAAAATAATAGGGTTAACCAACCCTGTTTCTTTCCTGCCAATTCCTCCTCCCAAGGCTCGGCACAGCACCTGGTGCGGCCTCTATTCCTGACTCTGTCGAGGTAGACTAGCTTGAGTGTTTTCCCCTAGAACTTCTAGGGGGAACAAATGAATGAAAGATTGACTAGGTTTGTTTAAATAAGTGTAAGCTTTATGGGGGATACTGTTGTTTAATCACTTTATCCCAATGCGTATTGCTGACACTTTCTAGGTGGTTGTTGCATTAAGAATGAAAAAAATGAATGATAAAACATTATTACCTACAGTGTGGCTCTTTTTACTACTCGTTGTTTCTGTAAGTTCCATGTCCCTAAATATAGATTTCCACCATTGGCTACTAAAATTTCCTTCTCCTCCAGAAATATGCAATCAAAATTAATGAGCATGTCTTGGAATTTTTTTTAAAAAGGAGGGGCAGTGTTCTAACTCACTTGGGTTAATTTCGTTTTTAATGTGTACTTTGAAATTTATTGTCTTCACTTTTATGATGGCCCTTCTATAGGTTTTTACTGACTTAGATTAATCTCAACTTTCTAGGTTGACCTTAATGTTGTCACTTGCATGAATGGGATAGTTCTCTGGATGCCAATATTTCATTTGAGGAATAAAAAATAGGGATGATTTAGTATAGGTAAACTTCATCTCATAGCAAAATAAATGTTTTTCATTTAAGGTCAATAATCCTTTTACACTGAAAGCATTATGATGTTTTTCTTGTTTGAGTGTGACTTCTAATTCTTCAACTTTTAGACAGTTATTACAGACATGCTTCACTCATCAGCCAAAATCAGTTTTTGTGGATGGCTTTGAGACATTATTCATTGGGGGAAAATAGGTATTCTAAGCCCCAACCTCCTGTGAACTGGCTGAGTGCTTGGCCTGTGTTCTTTTCCTGTCTCTCAAACTTAGGAAGCAGATGCTAACATCTGGTGGGCACCCTCTGTGGGTCCTGTCCAGTGCTCATCCCCTTGTAAGGGAATATTCCTCACCTAGTTTATTCTCCTTCGTGATCTTATAATTTTAGATTCTACTATTTCTGCTTGTAAATGAAGACATGGAGACTTAAAGAAATTAAGTAACCTGTCTGCATGTAACTAGTAAATACAGGGTCAGGGACAAAAGTGGTTTTTTTTCGGATTCCATGGTCTTTCACTTCTTTGGTGCTCCCGTCTGTTGCAGAGGGAAGGAGCTCATGTCACAATACAGGAAAGTAGTCACAGTATTTATATCTTCTCAGAAAAAGAGCCACATGCCAATCCAAGAAACTTTTTCCCACATTGTTAAGATATGCCAAGGTTCCTGCCTCCCCAACGCCGCCTCTGTCCTGATGCGCAGCAGTCTTTTCCTCGTGAGCACCCTTCTGCTTTGCATCCATTTCACTGAGCTGGTACGTGACAGTGTCCTGTCTCCATGTCTTCTGTTGTGTACTTAGCTTTCCTTGAAAACCCACAGTCTCCCCAAGCACTCTGTTGACCCTTTTTTACGACCATTGCAGGACTTAGCCCAGAACCGAGGTCACAGCAGTTCTGGAGAGAGCGTGCAATCTATGTTGAAGTAAAAGGGATTCATATGCAAAGAAAATCCAGTCTTTTAAACAATCAAAATATTACACTTGTAGTCATACCACCTTTTAAGTCCATGCTGTTTTGAGTGGTGAAAAGAACTGCTATTTTTTAAATTTTTGATGACATTTTCCAAACACTTTTGCTTTTCTTCATTCAATCATTGGTTCGTGCCTTTGAAAGGACTGTGAACTAGGAGTCAGAAACGATTGGGTTTACCATTGCTGCCACTTCATCTCTGGATGACCTCGAGTAAGTTGTTTTGCATCTCTAAACCACAGTTTCCTCAGCTGTGGAATAGAGAGTGATAACACGTTGCTCACCCATTTACTAGGACCACACGTGTAAGTGTCCAGAACAACACTTGACAATGGTAGATATATGTTCATGCTCTTGAATGAGTTGTCTCCAAAATCTACTCGAATCTTTTTCAACTTGCACACAAAGGAATGAGGTGTTTCAGGCTACAGCTAGGTGTGAGCGGGTGGGTCTTGCTGGGCAGGTGCCTGGAGTGTGCCTGTACATTTTCCCGCCGGTGCCCTAACTACAGGTTGTCCTGACCTACTCCGTTTTCAGCTGCTGCAGCTTCTCTAGCCCAGCTTGGGTGAAGGCCTTCCTTGGCCTTCCAGGGAGACACTGTCACCTCCAGCTCCCATTCAAAGTGTGTCATCTCTTTTCAATGTCTCTCACATCAATCATATTGTATTGTCATCAAGTTCACCGTTGTCTTGTTTATCCAAGTCCAAGCTCCAAGGCCTCTTCCTGCTCACATGAACTGCACATTGGATGTAAAGGACTCCTCTTCTGTCTGATGAGTGTGCAGGTGTCTAGTCTCATGCTAAAGAAAGGTGTCAACATGGGTTGCTTTAGAAAGATTTAGCAAATCCTTGGGGCCCTGGCAGAGCCTCCTTCTTCTGGATGACAACAGCCATTATGCAAAGGCCTTTTAAGAAGAACACTGAGCAAAGCAGATGGTAACAAGGAGGACTGATGGGCGTCTTTGGGGGCACAGCATGGGACACCCTGCAGATGACTCCACATGTCCCTGATGCTAGAGGAGGTGAGGCCAGGTTGGCCCTCAACTCATGCCCATTCCCTTCTGCATTGTCCTCTTGGATCTTATGGCCAATTTCTATGAGACTCAGCTCCATACCTCAGGGGGCCCTCATCCTGTGTCCATCTCTCCTGATTTCTTCTTTCCCCAGATGATCACTGAAGCATAAAGTCTACTCTACTTCTATAAGAGTCTTCTCTTTTGACTCTCAAGAACATCAGCCAAACACTTATTCTTGCAAATCCAAAGCTTTTGCTTTCATTTTTGCATCTGATGTGGGCTTCAAGAGCTTATTTTGAAGTTGAAAAAAAATCACATTATTTTCTTTCTCTCTGCTTTAAAAATTCTGCTTCTTTGAGGATTATTTTGTTGATGGCTCTGACTGAGTGAGAAATGGTTAGATACAAATAAAGCAGAAAGGAAAATTGCCGAGGCTGATATTTCAGTGCATCTGATGTGACTTTGTATTGTAGATATGTACATACCTCATATCTCTTCTAAACACTAAATGCCTTCAAGTCAGAGGTTTCATCTTATCTCTTTGTACATCCTCTCAAAGCACCCAGCCTTTCATCTTTCTTAAATAGTAAACATTTGCTGAATTTAATTGAAAAAAAAACAATGCATATTTTTTTAAAATTCAGGGGCAAAGCCACATGGAATAACTTGGGTCATAATAAAGACACCACAGAGTGCGAAAAGATGTATTCAGATTTGAAAAATAACAGTGCTTTTAAAACTGAAATCATGCTGAGCGTTGCATTAACCTTGTTCAGAAGGCCATGTTATAAAAATGTGCCAGTGGGCTAGGCAACACTGATTCACATGTTCCTTCACATTTGCTGGAATTCTATGCTTGCTCTAAATAAATCAGGATTTACTCTAACTTTGAGTGTGAAATAATTTACCCTTTTCTTTCTTTCTTTCTTTTTGGTTTGCTGTTATTTTTTTCTTCAGGTGACAAAGGGGAAAAAGGTTTGCTTGGAGTTCCTGGAGAAAAAGGCAAAGCAGGTATGCCATACTCACTTTTCTTTTTGATCCATAGCATCCTTCCAAAAGTATTCATCTAAAAAGTAAGTATGTCTCAAATAAAAGCAAGTATTGTTCAGGGGCTTCCCCTGAGTTTCCTCAGGCTGGAAGGAAGGGGAAAAAGAAACTTTCCTCCCATTCCCTGTTGGCTTCTCAAGCCCTGGGAAGGGCTGATGTGTGTTTCACCCCTGCCTTGTACTGTGAGATACCAGTCCAGTTGTGGTCCTCCTGGCGAAGTGGAAACCTGGAAACAGGCCAGTGTGCCATGCCTCGCACACCACAAGCATTTCCACCAAGTCCTGGCTACAGAGTGTCTGATGGCCTGGCTTGCAGCAGAACGGAACCTGGTCATGGAACAGACATCTGTGACCAGAGCAGGTCTCCGAGTACTGATAGAGTGCACTTCAGTGCCACATGCAGGGAAAGGAAGTGGGTGTTTCTGAGTGATTCTGGGTGTTTCTATCCACAGGGGTGTAGTGAAGACAAAGTCTAAGGACTTTTCATGTGCCTTCTATTAGCTGTGGATGTGCATAAACATTGATTTTTTTTTTCCTTTGGCTAATAAAATCATTTTTATTTTTCACACTACCAAAGAGGAAAACAAATGGAAGTGTTTATATGAAACAGCTATCAAATAGAGAAGAAATCATTTGAATTTGATGTCATTTTCGTTATAATTTCTTCTCTGTCACAGCAATGTCTGTAGGTAGTTGAAAAGGTATGTGAGAAAGAAGGATGAATGACAAATTAAAGTTATGGTTAATCCACAAACTGACAACTGGTTCTTAAAATTGTAGACTGGCTGTGTTTAGAGGATCCTTGAAATACATAAGCTGTATTTTAAATGGGTAATTAAGACCAACATTTGAGGTAATCATGAGCAGTCTCTCCTGTTTCAAGAAGGCTGTATGAGCTAGTGAATAATACAGTAACAGAAGAGAGGGCTGCTTGGAAATTTGTTCTAAGAAAGCTATAAAAGTTGTGTTCTGAGACTGGGCAGACACAGTCTGTGTTCAACAAGAATGCCAAATGGTGCACTACGCATGTGGAGCAGTTTGTCATATTTATTATTTTTTTAAAAAACTAGTCTAAAATTGTTTTTTAACTCATTTGAAACAGCTAAAGTATTCTGAAATTCTAAAAATAGTGTAAATTGGAACCTTGTTTTATTTATTTGTTTGTTTAGTTTTATTTTTTTTTTCTTTTTGGAGTCGGTATCTCACTTTGTTGCCCAGCCTGGAGTGCAGAGGCACACTGGCAGTCACCACAGTCTTGACCTGCTGGGCTCAGGCAATTCTTCCCCTTCAGCCTTCCAAGTAGCTGGAACTACAGGTGCGTGTTACCACGCCCAGATAATTTTTTGATTTATTGTAGAGATGAGGTCTCACCAAGTTGCCCAGACTGGTCTTGAACCCGTGGGCTCAGGCAATCCTCTCACCTCCGCCTCCCAAAGTGCTGGGATTATAGGCGTGAACCACTGAGCCCAGCCAGAACCTTGTTTTAAATAAAAGGTTTAAAGTACAGTCATTCACAGAGAGACTAAGCCAGACTAGAGAATGGCAGTAAGTACTGGGTAGAGAACAAGTGTTTCCTCCGCCTGGTCTGTGTGTACTTCAACATGAATTCACAATTTTTGTCACTTAAAAGGTACTGTCTGTGATTGTGGAAGATACCGGAAAGTTGTTGGACAACTGGATATTAGTGTTGCTCGACTCAAGACATCTATGAAGTTTGTCAAGAATGGTTAGCACACTCTCTTCTGCTTTGTGCTGTGTACCTATTGATTCATCTCTTCCAACACTACAATTCTTTTTAAAAAATATATATTTTATTTTAAAGATGTGGAGTACAATTCAGGATTAGGTATACAAGTGGACATTGTGCAGGTAACGTTTGGGCCTCTCTTTGGTCCCCACTTTGCCTGGTTTGAGATCAGTTACCCTTATTAATGTTGTGTCCTCACCCCCATCTAGGCATTTTCCTGCTACTTCCAATCCCTTTCTTATTGTACTATGGTAAATGTTCAAGGTCTGCTTATGAGTGAGAACATATGGAACTCTGTTCTTTGTTTCTGTGATAGATCACGCAGTATTCTAGATTCTAAATCCATCCAAGTTGCTGTGAAGTCTATATGTTTGTCCTTTATGGCTGCATAATATTCCATCATGTATATGTACCACATTGTTTTTATTCAGTATAGTTTCAATGGACAGCACGGTTGGTTCCATGCTTTAGCTGTTGCGAGCCATACAATTCTAATACTCCTATCAGGAAATGACTTGGGTTTGGCAAAGGCTTGTTAAGACAGTGTCACCATTTAAAGGTCTCTCAGCATGCCAGTTGTCCACTCTGACCCAGGATACTTCAAGTCCACTACATAGACTCATATGCATGTGCATTGCTAAGGGCAGAATAGAGACTCTCCTCAGGAAGCAGAATTAGGAAAAGGAAGAGTTTTGCACATGGCACCATAAGAATAGAAAGAGACAGAGACAGCAAGGGCCAAGTAGAACCAGCATTTCAGAAAACAGAAATAATATAACAATAGCTACTCCCGAGTGAATGGGATAGTGCACATCCGCTAGCATTGTCTCACTGGGTTGTCATGACAATTGTTATGATGTGGATACTTGATTAAACTGAAGCCCAGCGGGACACTTGTCCTAGCAAGCAGTGGGGCAGGATTGGAGCACAAGTTTCTATGACTCCACTACCCACAAACAAGCCAGCATGAACATTATGTGTTCCTCTAAGTTGTGCAATTTCCCATAGTTGTCATTTTTTGGTGTCCCTTGTTCATTTTTGCATATTAGTTATAAGTAAAGCCCTTAAAGAGGAAAGGGTGTATATATTCTCTTCTGAGATGGTATAAGTGAGGGAACTATCATAGTTGCTGCAACAACTGGCTTCATTTAGTTACTCTCATTAGCTGTTACCCATCTATAGCTGTTATACATTGCTGGATGTACACAGATGCTGTCTTGTGTTCATCCTCATCTCGTGAGACTAGAAGGATAGGAAGTATCTGATATTAACTAGCCACCCTCATGGTCACTCTGGCTGTAGCCCCTGCTGAAGATTTTGTCTCTGATGACTTCAAATGTCATGAATAAACCAGACCCCAAAGGTAGGACAGAGAGCAATAACTCTTTACATTCTAGTGGGTATAGATTTCATTGTGAATTAAAGTTGTGGACCTAAAATGCCTGTGTAGATGCTCATGAAACCCAAGTCACACTTGTCATGTTAGGAGCGCAGGAAGATTGAGTCCCCAGTCCTGTCCTGAAGTTTACTCTTTCCTCTGTCACTGTCTCCTACTTGGAATGAAACAGGAACAACCTCAGCCCATGCATGTTCACAGCCCAGGAATATGGCCCAGTGGGCGAACATCTGCATTATTCCTATATCATGTTCATAAGCATTTACCATCCCCTGCAGTGTTCCAGTCCTGAGGCTGGAGGGTGTCAAAGGCATGGTTGTTGTCCTCAAGACACTCACAGTGGAGCAGGGGAGAAATACAGGCAACTGATCTAGAGTATGCTCAGCGTTGTGCAGGAGGATGTGTGCAGGGGAGGCATGGGCATGCCTCAGCACCTCCATGGTGTCCAGGGCCATGGGAGAGGCCTCTTACAGGGAAAAAAAATGTTTTCCCTGAGATCCAAAGAATGTAGAGAAGTTTGCCAGGCAGAGAAACAGTGAGAAGACGTTTTAGGCATGAAAGGCATGGAAGTGGGGGAGAGGGAGGGTCATGTGTGCAGCTGCATGCAGAGCTAGGGCATAAGCCACATGGGAAAAGACAGTGTGAGGGGGCCGATGGCTGTGCACACAGCACGGCTTTGTCATAAGAGCTCTGCTGGACAGCTGTGTGGGAAGTCGAGGAGGAAGAGAGGGAGGAACCTCTCCTGGTGGTAGAAGTTGTTTCCATTTGATAACTGGAAAGGGAGAGAAAAAAATTAAACTAGTGGCAACCTCCTAAGAGGCCCTGCAGGATAACTCCCAAGCATTGAATAAGAGTTTGAATCTGGAGACAGTCTGCTTGCGTTTTCTCCTCTCGAGTGAGATAATGACGCTCTTCTTCTCCTGCCTGCACAGTCATAGCCGGGATCAGGGAGACGGAAGAGAAATTCTACTACCTCGTGCAGGAGGAGAAGAGTTATAGGGAGTCCCTGACCCACTGCAGGATCCGGGGGGGCATGCTCGCCATGCCTAAGGACGCAGCGGCCAACACGCTCATTGCTGACTACGTGGCCCAGAGTGGCTTCTTCCGGGTGTTCATCGGAGTGAACGACCTGGAGCGTGAGGGCCAGTATGTGTTCACCGACCACACACCACTGCAGAACTACAGCAATTGGGGCGAGGGTGAGCCCAGTGACCCACACGGGCACGAGGACTGCGTGGAGATGCTGAGCTCAGGCCGATGGAATGACACTGAGTGTCAGCGCACTATGTACTTCATCTGTGAGTTTGTCAAGAAGAAAAAGTGACTCCCTGCAGGTGACATGTTCATCATTTTCATGGGGCTACCATGACAGCAATTTTTACCTGTCCTTGTCTAATTACTCTTTGTTCTGACTCAACACAAGTAGGAAAGACCAAACTGAGGCTAGGCATCTCCATTTCTGTGCTTTTTTGTGGTGTGTTTGACATTTTCATACAAGGTATATCACTAAACCACAGCTCTCCAAGATACACGGGTCCTGAGAAAGTTTTAATTACTAATTGTGCAGAAGGTGGTTGTTGATGTCTCTGATGAAATGTCTTGCTGGCTCTGCCACCCTTCCTTAGATCCCTAAACATTCTCTGTCTAGCCCAGTGGGTCATGGTCCAATTGGTTGATGATATTTAGGCTGGTTGGTGATGGTTGGTTAGACTGGTTGGTGATGTTTAGGCTGGTTGGCAATGGTTAGGCTAACCTACTATTGCCCGAAGTCAGACATACAGGAGGGTCTTGTGTGAGTAACATCAAGATCTTTGAACCCACAATGCCCATTTCTTTGACCAGCCATCCACCATGGCTTTGGTCATGCTTACAAGTCCCCTACTGGCACAGACCTAGGAATGCTTTGACCCAAGCCTCTATATCAGGAGCCTCCAGTCTTGCATCCTGTTTCAAACCATGTGGAGACATGGAGACCCTTTTGTGCTTCTGACCTTCAGCCTTCACTGTGAGCACCATGCAGGTGCCCAGAACCCTTCTTCAGGCCACACCTTCACCTTGGGCCCCTAGACAACAACTCTCTGGTGTAAAAAAAAAGGAGGAGTTCTAGGCACCAATTCCAAATAATATTATTTATGTTCTCTTGCTAAATCTTCCCCTGCTATTAGCATGACTCCATTTTTCTTTGTCTTAAGCTTACCTACATAAACTTCTCCCACCCCTGGGCATGTGAAATGAGGGAAAAGAATTGTGAAGTCATGAGAAAATTCATGAAGCATCCAAGTGCTGCCAACATCAAGTTTCTAGGCCCGTCCTCTTTGCCTCGTAAAACCACTCATGATGACGTTTCATGGGAGACCTTTGCTCTTCATAAAAGTATGTGGTCAAAATCCCACCAGACTTTCCTTTCTGATGTCACAGAAATCTTTCAGGCACAGGACTTGAAACATACCTGAGACTCACACTTTCAGAGTTGGTGAAGTTCTACCTTGAGCTGCAGATCAAACCTCAAAGCAGCTTTCACTTGGGATTTAAAAATAAGCAGTTCAAAGAAACTCTAGATTATCACCCTGTAAACTGCTGCTCTACTTATGTTTTGTGACATATGATTAGACTGTTTAAAATGCTGGCAAAATGCTTAATGAAATAAGAGAGACAGAGCAACAACATATGCTCACCTTAAACCATCTGTCCATGATTTCACCCATGAGTAACTGGTTATGAGACAGGATTTAATTCAGTTATTTCTGTGGGTTCAACAAGGGTCATAAACTCAGATCCTCTTGGGGCCAGACAGATGCCATAAGTAAATGGAGTGGAACAGGGGATCCAGGGTACTAAGCACGCTTGCCCTTTGAGCACCTCCTGTACCCTTGAGGTCCTCTCTTGCCACATGTTGATATGTCAAGAGATATCAGAAAGTTGGAAGCTTATAGACTATCTTCATAAATTAAATGTTGCCAATGAATCCTTTTTTAACTCAGATTTTAAGTCTTACAAAAGTCAGATAGCCAGAATGATGCTAGTTCCATTTTGTACCTCTGGAGATAAGTTCTGTAGGTTCTGGTCATATAGAAGGTTATTGGACACAATGCCATCAAAGTCAAGAAATCCCTTCCATTCCTTATTCAGTTCAGCTCCAATAACAGGAATGTGTTAAATGTTTGACATCTATCGGATTATTAAACTAGTTACTTGAATTCTTTTGAGGAGGTAGCACAGGATATTTTGAAGGCAGGGAAGTTTAATAAAAATTTTAAAGCCAGACAGCATCTCAGAGCCAGTACTAGTGGGTAGAATGCCAGCCAAGGTCATGAGGAATAACAACTTTTAACACCTACTGGAAGGAAAGAGGTAAGGAGGAGGGAGTAAAGACATAGCAAACAATGCCTGGGCAGCTCTTTGTGGGATCTGTGTTCTGATGTGTTCCAAGTTCCCAAAGTATGCATATGTATTGTGTGTACTGTAAGTGCTATTATTATTTACTATAAATGTCATAATAACAACAATGGTCCCCTCAATGACTCATCTCTGCAGCAATGCTTCCAAGAGAAGATACAGAACTTCAAACAATAGGATACAACCCCCAACCTTTCCTGGAAGAAATTTTGAAGACAGCACACACTTAATGCAAATCACTTAGAGACTCACATTTGTGATATAATTTGTGCTTTGTAAAATGCCTTCACAGGTTGGTATGGTGGCTCACACTTGTAGTCACAATGCTTTGGGAGTCCAAGGTGGAAGGATCACTTGAGCCTCAAAATTAGTCTGGACAACATAGTGGGACCCTATCTCTACAGAAAATAAAAAATTAGCTGAGTTTGGTGCTGCAAACCTGTAGTCCCAGCTATTTGGGAGGTCGAGACAGGAGAATCACTTGAGCCCAGGAGTTAGAGGCTGCGGTGAGCTATAGTGGTGCCACTGCACTCCAGCCGGGGTGACAGAATGCGATCTCGTCTCTAAAAAAAGAAAAAAATGCCTTTATGTATCATTTCTTACTGGATCTTGATGAACTCTGTGAAGAATGAAGGGCACACATTTTTACTGCCATTTTTCTGATGGTAATACTGAGGCCTAAGGAAGCTAGGTAGGAGAATGTTTTGAAGTGCTCAGCAGAGCACAGCTGGGTATGTTACACAGCAGAAAACTTAGCCACTATCCCAAACTTCATGTCCACCAGCCAGGCAAGTTACTCAAGCAGTAAACCAGGCTACTACCACCAGTTGGGCATGTTACACAGGTAGTACCTAGCCATAAGCACCAGCTCATGTCCTACCAACTACTTGTTGAAAAGAAATACACCATATTTTAAGATACTTTTTAAAAAATCACCCATGTGAACATATATATCACATATATACTACATATGCAACATATATGCTCCATACACGGCATAAATAGCTATACACTAAGTGTGTGTGCTTGTGTATGTGTATACACAGAATGGTAACGTTTTTAACCCTTATTTATAGATAGAAATTTTTATCTTCAGGAATTTGCTAATAGTTTCCCTAGTTGTGAGGATCAGAGCTGAGCTCCATAACTGGATAGGATTGGTTCCAAACCATATATTCTTTTTTTTTATAGAATGTAGTTTATCTGAACCTGTGATTATCACATTCAAATTAGCTATTTTTTAAAACTTAAAAATAAAATTACTGATTTGTAATTATGGAGGTGGTTAGGCCTTCATGAAATAGCTAAGAAGTTTGAGGGGGAAACAGTCTGTCATGTCCTTCAAAGGGGATTAGAGGGAAGTAACTGTTTGCCACAGATATTATATCCCTGAGCCTTTTCGTGAATATAGGACTTAATTTTACTCTCCACTGACACATGGTCATGCACATGTGAATGTTTTGGTAATTGGATAAGCCTATTAGAAAGTTTTTCTTTATAGTGCTTTTTTCTAACTTCTGCCTGTTGTCCTGTTCTGCCTCCTGCAAGGCCTGGTTCTGAGACAAACTGCAGCAGCGACTGCGGCCTTTAAAGACAAAACCAACAGGAATAGGAATACTGCCCTCACCATGGACGTTGAAGTGAATACCCAAAACTACCCGCTGCTCAAAGCCTCAATGGTGTACCCCAGACCCAGGGATCCCTATGCTGTTGGAGAGCCATGTGCCCCACAAAGGTGGAGCATGGTGGCCTTCCAAGTGGGACAGCTCAAACATAAACTCATCAGTTATAAAGAGGAGCACATGGCGACAGAACTCAACCCCCAGAGGAGGAGGGAGGTGGTTATGGGAGATGGTGGTAAAGAACCCAGTGAGTGGGTTCAGCGCAGGTGCCCAGCGCCTGTGGGAGAATGAAGTTAACAACCAAGTGCGTGAGGCCCACGTGGAGAACACCCAGGAGGGCTGCAGCTCTGGTGAACAGCAGAGTTCACTGACTGCTTAATTCATCATAAATGTTTATGGAGTATCTAATGTTTTGGATAGCTCCATGATAAGGGCTGGAGGCGCAATAATGGAGAAGACAGATCAGATGGTTAATCTCATGGGCAGGACTCTCCTCAGGCTCACAGAATATAAATCTCTGCCACCGAGCTGGAAAGTCAATCCATTGTCAGGATTACATAAATCTATCCTATTTTTATACCTGCATTATGTTACAACATAACAGCTTTTCACAAAGATATTGAAATAAGTTGGGCAAAAACATTTTTGTAGAACTGCATCACTCTTTTTTTGAAGAATAGTATTGACACATCTGCTCAGACACACTAAATACCCATTCTGGCTTCCTCATTATGGTGTAACAAGAATCCATGTCCACGTGAACACTCAGCCACACCGTTCCCCACCAGATAGGATGTATCCCAGGGTTATGCAGGAATGAGCACTCACAAGTAGCAAATGCTCCTTTGCATTTTTTTCTTGTGCTGACACCTGACATTCAAGAAAGCTCAAATTTGCCATGAAGTGTCACTTTCATAAAGAAATACATGAGGGGAAAGAGGTGAGTCAGCCATTTTGTGATGTATTCAAAGGTGCATACAGCAACCCCCTGCAGCTGGGAGATAATGCAGGCTAATGGACATTGGTACACGGTAAGCAACCCTTTGACATATGTATTTCTCATTTTAGAATCCTTAAACTGAATCAATGGTTACTCCTTGATCCTTGTGTAAACTTGGCTGGCAGGCCTTGGCAGAGGTGCCAGAGATGTGGATGGTCTGCAGTCTTACCATCCACCTCTTGATATGTTGATGGAATGCCAGTGTCAGGAAGGTCCACATAAGTTCAGCTATGATGTATAAAAAGCAAGCATAGAAGCACCTTCTCAGTCTTGAGACAATGAAGCAAAGGGAGATGCAATTGCAAA